CCTTTAATAAGCAGAGAATGTGATTAGTGCTGCAATGCAAAGAGACAGCGTGCTGCAACATGACTCCATGCTGGTCTGCCAGGAAACCTTTACAATACAGTCYCTGGCTGCACTGGGATTTTTCATGCATAATAAATAAAGCAACAGACTAGCAGGCTCAGGCTCCTTGCTGAACACCAGTGCCCTCCACCGTGTATGCTGAAGATTCCTCAGAATACCACAGCARTCGAGAGAATTTATGATTTTTCTCCTCATGACAGACTGCTGAGTCCCCCAGGACTGAATGTCAGACACATGACTCTATCTGCAGCTTCGCAGGGCGGCTCCGAACATCTAAATAATACTGTCAGCATAACACAAGGATCCGTCCATCAGCCTGCACTGCCTCCTCTCCCCATTGGTGCTCACTCTGCCAGAGACATAGATCTTTCAGAATCTGTTACAGCACTTCCTCCACTGATGCTTTATACAATAATTCAGTTGGAATCATGGAACTTTACTAAAAGTACAAAACCTTGCTAATTAAGGGGCAGTGGCTCCCACTTAGGAACCGTTCAGCTTCCTTATTAAAAAACATGGAACCAAAGTTTTGAAATGGCATTAACACCACCACCATTTTAGGACATATATTACCACCTCCCTAAGCTTTGATCACATTTGTTTTTCCAGCTCATAATTGCTATGTTCTTCCAGGACAGGCATATAAAAAGAAAATCTTAACAGAGCATGGAATAACAACTCTTTTACTGCCCTTCCAGCACTATTGCATACTTTAATTCAGGCCATTTTAAGACATGAGCTGCCATTTGAGTGGAGGTATGTTTTATCCTGATTTCCTCTACAAAGACTATTCTTCCATTAAATTTGGCATTGCTGTTTATTCTCCAACTCCAGCTTCAGAAGGATGTRAATGTCCATGTTGTGATATTTACAGCTGTGGTTGCATATGAACCACAGAGGACAGAATATTGAAGCTTGTTCTAAATCACACACAACAAAAAAGGCAATGGGAGACAAAACCCTCTTCTGGAAGAACCTGGGACTTAGCAGAAAGTTGAGAAGTGATTTGAAAAATGTTTCATGATAATGCTATTGCATTGAACATACTGAAACACAAYGTGACCAGCCAGGGCCTTGTCTCCTCATAAGTCACTTGTGCTTCCATGTGCAAAACACACTTACGGTTGGGTGGCCAGCTTGGGCATTTGGGGGTTCATTTTTATTGTTTTAACATTAATTACATAGCCCTKTCCACTGCCATTCATCATGGGGGGGAAAGCAGTGCTGAGCAAGTAACCTGAATTGGATAAAAGCCAAAGGAGACAGAGAATAGTATCAAATGAATAACTGCACAATGGCATTAATCACAAAGCCCCATTTTCCTTGTGAACACCACTGCACTTGGCAGTGCCTCTGCAGTGTCCTAGTCAGGATTTGGGGACTATCTCACTGAAGGATGATTTAAATCCTCCATGCAAAAAAATGAGCAAAAATCAGAATTCACTATGCTGACTATGAAAGAGCAAGAAAAAGCTTTTTGCACTATCTGAAGTAGCCACATGCCCCAACATTTCTTCCCTTCAAAACACCACACCGGAAAATGTTAACTTGAAAGATCCACATCTTTCTCTTCCAAACACACAAATTCCCCTTTGAAGGCTGCTTTAAAGTTGGACTTCAACGGGAATTAATTAGCTTTTAAAACAAGCACTCCTCCCTACATATCCTCCAGTATTTTTTTTTTAAAGATTTGCATTAGTTTGTACAGGTTGAGAAAATGACTAAAAGCAAGACCAAAAAGGGATATTATGCATTACCAAGGCTTTGGGGAGACAGACTATAGAACTGTCATCCTTGTAACGCCTTTTTTTTTTTTTTTTAACTACCACCAAGAGGCTTAAATTAAATTTCGTGTTTAATTTTTAGTAAAATAAGACATTTGCATTTGGAGGTTCTTCACAGCATTCTGTCCCATGCACTGTGGTTGCAGCACAGGTAAGGCACTGCTGCATTTTTTAGCATCTGTACTTCTGCACAATTAATGTTGCTTGATTATTTAAGTTGCAGCATTGCATGAGCTACCTGTTTTCTAAAAAGATAACTATTTTATTTTTCCAAAAAGGAGGATCACAGTTTTACTTGAGGAGTGGGTAGGAACCTGAAATGAGCTTTCTCCAAGAATACTGGTTTTAAACACAGACTTTTTAAGGTAAGAATCCAACCTTCTTACCTTTTCAGTGTTGAAAACACTATAGACTCCCAAACCAGGAAAAAGCTCAGTTTTGTCACAGTGATTTAGCTGCATTATGTTTTTCAGTCATTCAAAGACTCAGTCTCAGTATCACAAAGTTCAGCACTAACATTGCAGATGTCACATTCAGGTAGAAAAGCCACCTTTGTGGTACTCAGTAAGTACACATAAGTTTTCAGTGTTGCAAGATGTTTTTCAGATATGAGATGTTATACAACATTTATTAATAACTASCCATTTCTTTCAGTACAAAAATAGGCTAGCTCCTCAATCCTTGATTGAGGTGAAAAGTGCAAGGTCTTTTCTTGCAGGGATGAGGCAGGGATTTTTGTTCTCAAGTGAAAAGTCATACAAATATTAAAAATAATGCAACACTTACAAATTTTAGAATTAGTATCATAGTATAACCCCCTCAAGTGAAAATAAAGATGTGTTTTCACCAAGGCCCAGAAGTGAAGATGTTTACACTTTTTCATGTACTTATAGCAACTTTGAACTCATTAAGTTTAGAAAAGCAGGTACTTTTCAAGACAACCCACATCTCATTTGCCTTTATATCAAACATTTACCTCCTGATCAAATGAAAACTGAAATACTACCAATATAGCCACAAAAAAAGGAGAACGTACCATCACAGTGAACAGATTTTGTAATGACTTCAGTAGAAGAAAGCAAGAAAAGAGATTCAAATAACTGAACCGTACAAATGGATACAGACTATATAAAGTAATAAGAAAAAAATCTAACTGCTTGCTAGCCCTACAACTCTAACAGCTTGTATCACCAGCAAGATGATTGGAACACTACTTCAGCATTTGTGGAATGAATCATAAATCCAGCCTCTTCATCTTAAAAATGTTTCTATTTAAAAGATGATGCAACAAAAAAAGGACAAGCACATTTGTATATACAACCAGAAATAGTGACTTGAATATTATACGRTTAAAGGCTTTTCAGTTTACTTGTCATCCTGAACTTGAATTATTTCAGTTTAAAAGTCAATCACTGAAGCATTTAGTAATTAAGAAAGACATGGATGATATAGTTGTTATAAATGAACCCTGCTTGAATGATAAGTTATTAGAAAATCATACAATCGAGTAGACATATTGATGGAAATCTGTGTGATATCTTTTTAAGGATTATAACAGCTAACAGCTTTGAACCAAGAATGACCAGTGATCAGAGAAATCCTACCACAGAATGTTCGAAAAAATCAACCTTTTAAAAGCATAKGTAAAAATTCAATTCAGGGAAAATTGTATCATAGTTCTTTAGTTCAAAAMATTTGCAACATCACATTTCTGTTGTCCTTAAAATAAAATTGACTGGCTTCCAGCACTGATAATTTCCCCACTGAATTCAATGAGTGTAGCACACAGCTTAGATAAGCATATGATGTTCTTTACATATGCAAAGTTCTTCATTTAATGTCACTTTCTTCTAGAATTTCTTTCGCCTACCCATTTTTTCCACAAATTTCTGCCTAGAAGGCAGAAAGCTTGAAAGGACATAAGCAGAGAGAAGGTTGTTCAAACTCAATGCTTTGCTTTCATGAGCGCTAGAGGAATCTGCCAGCAGTACACTTTCACTTCATCAATTCAGCAAGAAACAAGATTGCTCTTCAGTCGACATTCAGAAGCACCAGCCTGACAATTAACACAGGCATGTGACACTGAACAAGCAGGGAGAAGGCAAAGGGAAAAATCTTTCCTTAAATCCAGCCATAAACTTAACAGAACTTAACAAGTTCACCACAAGGTTTAACTAGAGAAGGATAGTTAGAAAATATACAACAGCACATATGGAAATACAGAACAAACCTAAAAAATTAGAGCATGGAATGCAGGTTGGGTACCAAAGGGCTGCTTTCCTCTACCTCTGTCAAACCACACTTAAGAAAAGTAAGGAAATTCTTGACTTGACATCTCAACACATCAGTCATGGCAAACAAAAACATCTACATGGATGGAGCGCTGGTTCATTTCCAGCTCTCATTAGCACAGAATTCCTTTCTTCATCTGTCTTGCCYTGTCTATTAATGGGGATAATTATGCTGACCTCCTTTACAAAGCACTTGAAAATCTACAGTTAAAAATGTTCCTAAACAAGTAATTATATATAATAGCAATCATGTATCAAACTTCAGCTATCAACTCATCACATGAAAGCAAGAATCTGATTGTTCCTGGAATTAGTACACAAAATTCAATTTCTCCACCGACATTAGCTTCCTAGTACTTCCATCATTATTACAACAGCTGCATTATACTAAAACACACTAAAGAACCTGTCTACCACTGACTGACATTTTGAAGATTTTCCAAGCTTCAAACAACAAAAGACTCCGGACTTTTTTCACTAATAATTTCCATGTTAATAATTTCCACCTTGCAGATGGAAGTATCTTAAACAAAGATACTTTTGGCCAGCTTCAAGCTTAGATGCTATTCTGAATCTGCAGCCTGAATTGTTGCAATGGCTCCAATCTAAAACAGGCTGTAGCACATTGCAAATGTGTTTTCCTGCTACATCCATCAACCCCCCTCTCCTTACACAGGCTGGTCTACAAGGGCACATTTTCATCATCACCCCTTATTGTCACCAGTTTCTCTTCTTCTTTCCTCCTTCCAGCTGCACATAAAGCCCTTAATCACTCAGTATGTTTGATATGCACCATTTTCTTTCATCTTGCATTACTAAAAATGAAAAAAAGTGAGAGGATTTGTTATAAAATTAAGCTACTTACCAACTATTGCCAGATTATGCTCGGAGCCACATGCAATCTGAAAAAGAAATGATTGACTAAATCAGAACCTGCTTACCAGTAGGAACACAGTAGTCACAATTATGACAGGAAATTAAAAATTAACCTGAAACAACTAMAGTTTGTAGGACGCAAATCAAGATTGAAGTGCTCTCACTCTTAAACAGAATTTAATTTCTAGCCTCACTTAGGGACTTAGTGGCAAGGGTGCATATTTGTTTGCTTTTTTAAGAAAGATGTACTACTTTCTTTTCAAAATGCAGCCACCAATGATATTTCAATCTTTTCAAGAAAGATTAGCTACAACTCTGGAAAAACATCACACCCTTGACAACACCCACTGGATCCAACAGGAGGCACAGAGCAAACACACAGATTAAGCTGTACAAAGACAGCTGGGTATCAAAAGGGTGATGAAGATCTCCATATCTCTTATCAGTATGTCTTTTCCATCTGATCCCTGAAGAACTGTTCAAAGYATACAGGTTCAGTGTGGTAAACCTAACATGACATGATCCTTATGGTCATTTGCCTAGAATGGAGAAAAAMTACTGTAGAACTCAACTCTTCCATTTGCTTATTAATGATAGAAATTAGTTACTRATTTTTCAAAACAAATTCATAATCGCTGCATTTTTCATCCTTCTGTGSAGCTGCTGTGAACGTGTGTGATGTTTAAGTTGCTTTAGTGTATCGAGTTTTTGGAAATACTCCACAAACGATGGTAGCACAAGCACCAAGAACAGTCCTCTGTCCTACTGCAAGGGCTTGCTTTTCCCACTGAATTTCTTTCACAAGGTCACCAGTGGCATAATTGTCTGATGTAACAGACTTCACTTCACACAAGGTTACTCTGCTGAGTGTCCTCAAGATTTTAATTTCAATAAAAGCAACCCCCTCAAAATCCTGTAACTGGTYCTCTGTCTTGCAACTACGTGCCCATTACACCTACTACTGAGCTGAAGAAAATTTATAAGCACATTCCTCTGAAAGTRTATTTGCAATGGCAAAATATAAAACAAGAGTATATGCACAATTATATGAAAAAATAGAASTCTATACCATCAAAAGTTGATATGGTTCTGTGCATGCATAACTTTATAGCTTTTACAGCCAGAGAAATAGCTACAATCACCTCCTTGTCTGCAGCACATAAAACCATAGAAGTTAATAAAACAGCTTGTGCTCAGCTCACTGTGCTTTACTATTTACTGGTGAAGAGACACACAAGACTGACACACTCAGTAGCTTGAGCACTTGTGTTACAAATGAACACTACAATCACTACTACTCACAATCTACATGTGTCACAACTGCTATATGAAAACATTTGGGCAAAGCCATCCCAACACAACAATGGCAAGGAAGAAGAAAATGACTCTTTGGGATAAGGGTGCTTAGACAATGTATTAAAGTATTTGGGAAAAGTGGGCAAGAAAAATAATTCACAGTACACTCCAGCAAAACCTCATCTTCAGAAATATCAAGACAAAGCAACAGGAAAAGCAACTCCTTTGGAACAGCACTAGCAGGACTGCATCAAGTCTTTTATTCCACAATACTGCAGACAGGAAAAGGTCTAAGTCCCAASCACTAAAATACATAAATCACTGCCATATCCCACATCACTATCCTCACCACAAGAAAGAGCCCTACACAGGAGCAGGGCTGGCTTCTAATACCTATTCACTGGCTAACRCTCCCACCTGTGCTTCTCAAGCTTAAAAGCTGATGCCATGGAAACAAGATCCACACATGGAAACACATGCAAAGGCTTTCTAGCAAAAAGAAAACTCTCCTCTTCACCAAGTGCTAATAAGTGGATATATAGCAAAGTTGCTGCTAATAAAACAAATAACTTTATTTGAGGTGTAAATTATCTTGGCTAATTCCCTAGGAAATACAATGACATAGGCAGAGATTCAAAAGCATCACTACAAAAGAACTGCTAAGGCTGGTGGCTGACACTGCTCCAGAAATCCTCCATTAAAAAAAAGGGGGGGGGGGGGGGGTAACACCACACAAACAAGGTGTTATTTAGATTTTAAAAACCACCCCTGACAAAGAAGCATTTTTTTCCTACATCCAATAAYAGAAGGTACAGGGCCTGCAAACCAGATAAAAGAATGCTGGTGATCTCAAAACAGCTTTGCACCGTAGCTGTTACTCTGGCCACTTTCAGAGCCACCCACTAGCCAGCTATCAGATTGTGAGGGAGTCCACCAAACCAGGCCAGGAATTGCTGTGTTACACAGACTGGCCATGCTGGGGAGCTGCCCCCATGGCAGCCACCCATGGCCAATGCATTGCAGCTCTGGGACTGATGGGGTACAAGCTACTGCAAAGCACAAAAACACCTCTTCTGGAGGGGTAAAAGTCACCTCAGTGGAAGTGCCAGCTTTGCAACAACAACTGAAACGAAGCAAAATCACAAGCTGTTGAAGGCASTGCCCTGGATTCACCCTTGACAGCCCAGAGCAAGGACAGCACACGCCATGTACCAGCAGCAGCTCTGTGCTCCAAAGTAGAATTTGCTCAATTTAGAGCACAAGGTTCACCACACCTCTGCCTTATCGCAGGGTGTCACCACCTGACAACACAGACAGACTTTGTAGGAACCCCCAAATAAAAAAAAACCACCCTTAGAGGACTCTAAATTTAGCTTGCTRGAACACCTTGTTCATCACCCATGCTCCTTGCTACAGGCTACACCATCCACCCACAGGATTCCTTCTGGCCTGCACACCTCTGCCTCTGGAGCTCAGGAGGAACCACACTGCAGAAGTGAAGCAAGGTTGCCACTACTTAACAAACATTGAAGCCTTGCAGGTATTTCATGACACCTTTCTTACAGTAAACTCTAAAAGGTAGCACCCCCTTTTCTCCAAGACTCCCTACAACAGGCAACAATCAGCCAAGAATGATTGATTCACTGGTACAAATACAGACCAGCCAGAGAACAGCATTGCTGAACAGATGTTTTATGACGACATTAGATGTAATAAGCTCTGCAGACAGTGCAGGTCACTGGGAGAAGCCTGGTATTTACTGCAGCAACTATAATTTTCTGGCTACTTCTCTTCTGTCCCCACCCCTAACGTGCTGCAGAGACATTAAATTCCAACAGACATCTGCATGCTTCCAATGGGTAAGTGCATTCAGGGACACTTATAAACACACAATGATGCTTTCTAATTAGGTAATAATTTTACATTACGTTTTAATTGAAAAAAAAAAAAAATCACTAATCTTAAAGACAAATCAGAGAGACTGTTACTGAGCAAAGCATTCCGTGAGCTTAAGAAACATGACCCYCTACACAGAAAACAATTCACACCGAAGTTCTCAGTTTGGAGGGAAATTTGAGAAGAGTTGTGAAGGATATTGTGATCTCTACATAAATTATCTCAAAGCACTTGACAAATGTGTATAAGGCAGGCAAAGAACGCTCAGGGACCACTTCACCCAGAACTTACCTTATTATCTGTGTTCTTTCAACCATACATAAATTGTTTGTTTCTTCCCTTAAATCGTGCGGTAGCAAGCTGTTTCCTACCTACAATGGCTGTGGTTCAGATCCATCCATCCATCCACCCAGATTTAACACGTGTGGTGTAAGCAGCCAAGGGACCGGCATTTTATTAATCATAAATAGTATGATAAATAGCATAATCAGAGACATCAGCTGCATGGATGGTGAGGAAAGACCTTAGCACAGCAACCACAAACTCTGGGCAAAATACCAACATCTTTCTGCAACCTACCTATATRTTTATGGCCCAGTCCTAAGAAAAATTAATTAGCTGAATGTAAAATCAGTGTGTTATGCAAAATGGAGAGACTATTTTACTTCAGATTAAAATACTTTTCTATCTTATAAACATTATATGGAGAAGTAAAATAATGTTTACCACATATTATATAAACATTCGTAAATATTTGCATGTCTGTATACGTAAAACACAACATATATATGCATATTAGGAAGAGAAGGTTGTCTGTTAAAGAGTATGTTTATCAGGGAAGAAAGTTCAGACAGAGCACCACCTTTTCTGTCTGGGATAGAGATCTCACCTTTGCAGACAGCAAACAAGCATATACAGGATCAACTCCTGCGGATATTTAGACRTACAGTCTCCCTTGGATTTCAAAACGTAATTAAGAGACAAAAATACCTTCAGTCAACCATCCCCTAAGGGAGTTCTGAGCACTATAACAAAGCAAGTTACAAATGCACTGACAAAGTGCATAAAAATCCAAGTTTCAGGCTAGTACCTTGACCCCAAGGCTGTTCTTTCTTTTCTTTCTGTAACCCCAGAGCTTTGACTGAGGGTCTGTTGGACAACCCACCAGGAAAAAGAAGGAATCAGAACTGCAGGCAAAGGCAMCCTCCCACTGCAGCAGAGGGGGAGGAACAGTACAGTGGAGGGTRCAAGGAAGAGGCACAGGGAGCTGGACTCACAAGAAGGATTGCAGAATGAACAGTCACATGCCTCYAAACATCAGGGTGTTTAGCTAGAACAACAAAAAGACCTCAATGCCACTTATTTTTGTTTCGCCACCTCAAAAGTGCATATTAATTCCCTTCAGTGCAATTATTTCCCAAAACATGAAAGGCTATAGAGGCTTCCAYCACTTCTTATGAGATGAGAGCATGATATACAAAGAAGATTTTCAAGGATGAATGAAGATATGATGTTTAAATCRCATGCAGATTCTAGTTTGTCTCTCTAATTGCACCAAAGCATAGCTCTTTTTCAGGGAGAGAGAGGGCAGGGGGCAAGGGAAGGAAAACTTTAGAAGAGGWGGCACATAAGCACTTTAATCCAGGACTTTAGACATGGTGTCTCATGTCTTTTGACATATTTCACTGTAAGGAAATTGCCAGAAGATGGCAAATTTTATTCCTTCAGAGATCAGAAGTCCTAATGGAAGGAGAAGAGGTGACCGAGAARCTGCAGATCAGAGCTTACGTAAGACAAGGGAATCTTCTCTCCCGGAGYTGTTCTTCCATGTCCT